CTGAACTGCTCCCACCTTTTAGAGGGTTCTTGGGTGGAGGAGAGAAGAATGGGGAAATATTAGGTAGAAAGATAGACCTAGATGATGAGGAGAAAGACACAGGATAGCTTCGGGAGGGCCCTGGGTCAATACCCAGTCACCCAGAAATTTATTCAAATGGGCTTTTTATAATATGCCCAGGGGAGAGGCAAAAGATCTTCCCTTTGCAAGTTCAAAGCATACCATACATACTGCCAAGTGTAGACCCTTCCAAACACCCGGTAAACACTCTTGTGGCCAAATCATCTCCTGCTGGGTAAAGCAAGCTCAGATTCTGTGATCTTGTTCCCACTAGGAAGCCTCTGTGGGTCTCCACCAGCTTGGAAGCAGGAACTGATGCAGAGGCCATGGGGCGAAAGCTGCTCACAGGCTTGCCCTCCATAGCTTGCTTGGTCTGCCTTCTTATAAACCCCAAGATCACCACTCCAGGGGGTAGCACAGCCCACAGTGAGCTGAATCTTCCCACATCAATTATCAATCAAAAGAACAAACCACAGTCTTGCCCACAGGTGGGGGCATTTTCTCAATTGAGGTTCCTGTTTTTCAGAATGACTGTAGCGTGTGTCTAGATACATAAAAGCTAGCCAGCATGTATTGTATGTTTTTGGCTTTTGTTTCATCCTCTGAAAGATTTCTTCTTCCTTCTAGCAAGTGTTTCATTTCTGCTGCTGTACTTTTGCATATTTAAACATAGTGTTTCATTTTTCCTTTATGGACGCGATATCTCATTTCTTCGAGAATATTTTGTAAAGAATTTATTCTTTGTTTTTGCTGTACTAGGGACTGAACACAGGATTTCCTATATACTAGGCAAGTGCTCTTTCACTCAACTACCTCCCCAGCTTTCTTTGGGGGGCAATGGGAACCTCAGTTGATGAGTTGCCTCCATTAGATCGGCCTGTGGGTGTATCTAAGGGGCATTTTCTTGATTAATGATGGAGGCAGGAGAGTCCAGCCCCACTCTAGGCAGTACTACACCTGGGCAGGTGGTCACAGTACCACACCTGGGCAGGTGGTCACAGTTTATAGGTAAGCTGAGCAAGTCAGCAGGCATCATTCATACATGGTCTCTGCTTCAGTTCCCTTTTCCAGGTTCTTGCTTTGAGTTTTTGCCTAGGCTTCTCCAAGCAATGGACGATTACTCAGAAGGACAAAAGGAAATAAACCCTTTCTTCTCCAGTCAGCTTTTGATTATTGTATTTATTACAGCAACAGAAAACAAACTGTATGGATGCTGTTGTTTTTAAAGAAATGGTCAGTTGCTTTAGGCTCCTCACACAGCGTTAAAAATAGAAATGAAAAGGCCAAGCATGGTGGTGTGTGCCTCTAAGGCAGATATTTAAATGTAACAATCATGTTGTATAGTCATCTAAATAAGTTATTAGTGCCAATTCCCTTTAGTAAAATGCATTATAAATATTTGTGCAAACTATCTTTAGTATCTATACTCATGTTCCTTGGAAGTTAAAGTAAAATTTCATCCCAGCAGTCAGTCATATTTCTTAAAAACTTCTAAAATACCTTTTCTCATTTTTAAAAATATTTAAACCTTTATTAGGGATTGTGGTGGTATGAATGAAATGTACCCCATAGTCTTGGGCATTTGAACACTTAGTTGGTGGCACTGTTTGGGAGGTTTAGGAAGTGTGGCCTTGTTTTAGGAAGTATGTCACTGGAGGGATGCTTTGAGGTTTCAAAAGCCTGGCAACATTCTCAGTGCGTGCTCTCAGCTTGCTGTCCCAGTCACTGTGCCATCGTTCTACCATTCTCAGTGTAACAGAATATTAGTTAAAAAGGTGTCACATTGTTTATGCTGTGGAATATTTGCTTAATGAGGCAAAGATGTGCTGCATTCCTTTATGCTGCATTTGTTTAACACTAAGACACTGTGCTGCTTTGCCTGATTGGTCTAATAAAGAGCTGAACAGCCAATAGCAAGGCAGGAGAAAGGAGAGGCAGGGCTGGCAGGCAGAGAGAATATATAGGAGGAGAAATCTGGGAAAAAAGATTGAGGAGCGAGAAAAGGAGAAGGGGAGGATTCCGGGGTCAGCCATCCAGCCACACGGCCAGACACTGAATAAGAAGGAAAGAAAAGATACACAGAAATAAAGGTAAAAGATAGATGGGGTAATTTAAGAAAAGCTGGCTAGAAATAAGCTAAGCTAAGGCTGGGCATTCGTAAGTAAGAATGAGCCTCTGTGTGTATTTATTTGGGAGCTGGGTGATGGGCCCCTAAAAGAGACAAGAGTAAAGAGTGAAACAACCAACAACACCTCACTTGCTGTCCCAGTCACTGTGCCTGCCTGATGTCACTCATCTCCTCTGTGACGTTGATAGACTCGTGACTTCTGAGACAGTAAGCTAAAATAAACTCTTCTTTTTACAAGTTGCTTCGGTCCTGGTGTGCTGTGGGATGGCCTGTATGTCAAATGTGTTGCTCTGATTGATCAATAAATAAAACACTGATTGGCCAGTGGCTAGGCAGTAAGTATAGGCGGGACTAACAGAGAGGAGAATTGAGAGAACAGGAAGAGACACTGACAGCCGCCGCTATGACAAGCAGCATGTGAAGACACTGGTAAGCCACAAGCCATGTGGCAAGGTATAGATTTATGGAAAAGGGTTAATTTAAGATGTAAGAACTAGGTAGCTAGAAGCCTGAGCCATTAGGCCAAACAGTTTAAATAATATAAGCGTCTGTGTATTTATTTTATAAGTGGGCTGTCGGACTGCTGGGCCTTGGTGGACCTGAGAGAAAATTCTCCAGCTACACTGGTGCTTTTTCATAGCAGTAGAAAAATAACTAATACAGAATTATTGACGATAAAAATAAAGTCTGACATTACTATACCATAACTGTACACTAGGTACTGACAGAACCACATAGGATTTTCTAGTTGGAAGACTTTCCTGTGTGACGATCAACCCAGCATGTGCCAAATGCTCCCTCTGACTTCTAGTTCTTGGCCTTTCTGTTTACACATTTTTTTCATTGATGTAGACCCAAACACAGCATCAGATGTCCTCCTGTGTCAGGTCACATGAACACTTCTCCATCCCTCCTTCTCTGGTGAGGAGGTCAGACTCTCTGGTCACATCTTTTTCACTATGTCTTTCATATATGTATCGACCTGCTTTGGGGATGTGTTCATTCCTCTGGCTTCCATGACCGGAGGAATTTTTTTTTTCCAAGTTATTTTTCTTAAATTTCTTTTCCGCAGCAATCTCCTATCTCCATCTGTTCTTTAAAGATTTGATTTTGGGTGTCTGCTTACTCTAAGTCTTTTTCCAGAATAGAATTTTGGTTTCTCTTCAGGTCTCCCAACAGCTGTTGGTGATTTGTGTCTCTGGATTCATCGCTGTTCTTGTCATCAGTGCTTTGTCCCAACCCTCTCTCTCATCTCCAGTCTGTTACCAAGGCCCCCTGATAAGCCCTTGGTCATTCTTTCTGTTCTTATCTTTATCCCTTTGTACCTGGCCTCTTTCTTCCCAGTTTCTTTCCTGCTTCAAGTCACGTCTCCAAGGGCTGCCGAGTTAACTCTGTGAACACACCCCTCACATCCCATCATCATACTCCAAGTGCCCTCCAAGGCCTCCTGCTTCCCAAAGTAGAAAACCCAGATCATCTGGTGCTTAGGTCTCCACACTCGAGCTGGTGCTCATGTCTTCTGTCATAGCTGTTTGAAGTATCATCTCCTCATTTTAAAGGACAAACAGCATCCATCACCCTTGGTCTTCTGAATGCTCCTGGTTTGTTCTTCTCTTTATGGTTCTTATGTGGATGGAGGCTGTCCTCTCTTCTTTCAGTCTTACTTCAGATGATAAAATTGTATTTTCTGGGAAACCTTTCTAGGTATGTTTGTGGTGAGGTAAGTGTGTGTGTACCAGTATGTGTGGAGGTCAGAGGTCAGTGTAAGGTGTCTTCTGCAATTGCTCTCCACTTTAATTTTTGAGGCAGGGTCTCTCACCAAGCCCGGAACTCGTCAGTCATGTGAGCTGGCTGGCTGATGAGCTTCAGGAATCTGCCTTTCTCTAATTCTCCTTTTTCTCCCTACCCCAAGCAGGAACTTCTATACCTGGCTTTTGTGTGGGTGCTGGGGATCTGAACTCAGGCCCCTCAATCTTGTACAGCAGACACTTCACTGACTGAACCATTTCTACAGCCCAAAGAATCTCGTTTGGACAACCAATGCATAGCCTTCCCTCTACTCATTTGAGGCTAAAAAAAACCCCTCCTATCCCATGTATTTGGGTCTTAACTGTAGGAAAATAGTGCTGATCAAAGCTATTCTCAGAGACCATCACATAGATGAGGTGGGTACAGTAATTGCTTTATTTGCAGGCAAGGAAAATCAGGCCCAGGCCAAGTACATGAAGTCACGGGATGGCATCCGGCTCCTGGGCTAACTGTTCAGAGTCAGTCCTCTGAACTCTTGGATTACTCCTTTGCACTCAGTGTTTGTAATGCACATTTTATTTTGTGTGTTGCCTTCTCAAGTAAAGTGTCTGCCCCAGCAGGACTGGCAGAGGCCCACGTGCCTGAGTGAGCACTCAGTGCTGTGGAGTTGGAGCGGGTTGTAGCAGTGCTTAGTTCCTTTGAGGTGACACAATTCATTTTCATCCTTTGCGAAAGCACTCTCAAGTTCTGGGCTCTTGAGAACAACTATTCACAGAAGCCGGTGTCCTGGCTCTTATCACTAGGGTCCAGTGTTATCTAATCGTTTCCTAAGCTCTGCTGTGTAGACATCTAAACAATATTGATAATGCGACCATCCCATATATCCCTTGCTGTTCCTTGTCTTGGGAAGAAATCAAACAATGGTGAAGTCCATGAGCAAGCTGGTACGGAGTGCACCAGCCTTGAGTCTAGGCGTCTCAGCTGGGTGGCTTTGTGTTTTCCTTTGATGTTAAATTGTGAAATGTGCGTGGAAAGTTCTGACAAGATGTTTTTGTCTTTTTAGGGTCCCTCACTGAACCCTGAAGTTGCTTCAGGGAAACTAAGAAATACGAGGCCTGCCTGGAGGAGGTGAACCTTCAGAGGTATGACTGATGGAGAGGAGGTGTGTTTGATACTGATTATGTTTCAGGGTTACTTGAGGCTAGGTCATGAACTGCAGCTTTGATTTATTTCTCTCCCTGGAATGAGACCTTTCCAGAAGCTTGTGAGATTGACTAAATTAGTTGTAAATGAGGTAAAACTGTCTGTCTTAAGCCACCTACTTTAAAAAAGTACACATGAGTCTCAAGCTGTATGCTATCAGAATGTTTAATAGCCTTTTCTAGAATGTTCCAGGTGCTTTAAAAGTGAAAAGAAATACTTGTACTTATTTTGTGGTTATTACTAACTTGAATAGAATTTGACTCTCTAAAGTCCTTGGATAGTTACCCCTGCCCGCCTCCCTCCCCCAATTTAAAAGAAAACAAATTAGACATTCATTGAGTATCATAAGCAAGGTCTACTTTTTCATCAGGTAAGAAATGGGGAGGGGATTGAAAGAGAGCAGGCCCAGATGACATTTACCGTCTAGCCGTGAAGGGCAGATTGGGCTAAGGCCCACTTCCTTAAGCCACATAGTCCTTTTTCAGATATCTCAGTAACTTCAACAATATTCTCTTGTCCAGAGACGGAAGGGTCAAGGTTGTACTCTTTCCTGGCACTTTGCTAAGTCATACGGTGCCAACTCTGCTTGCACACCAGTACATGTTGGCCCTGACCACTGCTCCTACATGCGTTTGTAGATTGCCAGTGTCATTCATTTGGTGTTGATGTCATTAGTACTCTGAGTTCTGAAGAGGGTTCCATTTGGGTCCATATACTAGCTACTTAATGTAGATCAAAATCAAACAAACACTTAACTACAAATATCAGACAGTAATGTACTAAAAACTGAATGGTCTGGAAAATGTTTCTCAATGTTCAGAAGCAGAACAGTAATGGGCAGTGGGAACCCATTCCAAGAGCCAGAATATCTATCTAATTTAGAGCTGGCCAGTGACTTAAATTTTTACTCTTGGCAGGTTCTGTAACCTTTTGCAGTGTGTAAAGGGGGAATCAGCACTTGGCTTGGCTCCTCCTGGGGCTGTTCGAAAGCCTGCAGGAGCTCATGGAAGGGAGCAGTGAAGAGATATGCTGCACACCCAAAGCCAGTAGTTATGGTACCAGCTAGGGTATACCATGGAATCTTCGTATTTTCTCTTATGAGAGATACTTGCTTGTGCTTATATACAGAGGGCTCAAGTATAATCCACAGATGACAGATCTTCCCTGAGAACATCTAATAGCATTGACAATGTGAAGTGATGGTTAAAGCATGTTTTTAACCTTTACTAGTGTGAGGAGTTGCTAGACCCTGTCTCTAGAATGGCACTGTCCAGTACAATAGCCTCTGGCCACATGTAGTTCCTCTGCACTGGTAACAGGGCACCAATTATGATATGCTATACAGATAGCACACGTCTTGGATTTTGAAGGCAATATAAAAATACAAGGATTGAATTGTTAATGTTTTGATGATAACATTTGAGATGACGGTATTTTGTATATACTCGATTAAACACAGAAGGATAGATTTTACTCACTTCTTTTTGCTTGTTGAATGGCTACCAGAGAATTTAAAGGTACAAATGTAATTTGTGTGTGTGTGTGTGTGTGTGTGTGTGTGTGTGTGTGTGTGTGTGTGACTCATATTATCTTTCTTCTAGACAGTGCTTGGTTAGAATTTATGCAGACATGGAGGTGTCACACAGGAAGAGCATTGCATGCCGGGGCCAGTGCTTTAGGGGAGGGTGCCTGTGAAGTGGGTGTGGCTGACAAGCTGGTGGCCCTGCAAAAGATCCGAGGACTGGGCCAGGGGATACATTTAGAGAAAGAGTACAACTGTAAGGAAAGGCAGGTCAGGAAGACAGGAGTTTGCTCTCCCGGGAAGAAAGCTTTGGGATTTACAGGGGGATCTGCCAGCAATACAAAGAACAGGAGAGAAAGAAAGGACACAGAGGCCCCAGGAAGCATAAAAAGGTTATTTCATAGTTTCTCTTGATAGAGGTCAAGTTTTGTGAAGCCTGCCTAGGATGTTATTATAGTATTTGAATGACAAGCCTATTTATTTTACTTACAAATAATGTAAGGCATGTATTATCTCAAGGTATCAACAGATGGCACTGTGTTCTAGGGCTGAGAAAAAGGCATCTTGGATTAGCGGTGCTTAAAATTTCAAAATATCACTGCTGTCATTTTTGAGCATGCAAGACAAATATATGTGTGTCTCTTTATTTATAAATCACACACACACACACACACACACACACACACACACACACACACACACACAGAGTTTGGAGCAGTCATTGGACTTCAGAGGATGGGTTCTTAGGTAGGTAATGACTCCATCATTATCATCTACAGAAGGACAATTCCTGGTATTACGTTCATATAATATGTTAAATCATCTGGTTAGCCATGTATAATATAGTATAAATAAGAAAACTTGGGTCAGGAGCTAATTTTTTTCTGTAATGGCCGTGACCCTATATAACCAGGTTGGGTGTCAGTCTCTTCTCTCCCGGACACACACAGAACAATGTTGTTCTTCAATTGACAATGAACTCTATCAGGTTCTCCAAAGTCTCATGGTGCCTTTTAAAGAGTCTCTCTGTGGGTATACTAACATTGCAGGCAGCTATAGAGAATTAAAACAATGTCATGTCAGCACAGTTTAAATTATAATGGACAATACAATTTAAAGTTCTCTTCTGAAGTGGGCACAAAGTTACACCCCTAGATAAGAAGCTACTGGGGAGGGAAAAATTATATTCTTCAGTGGAGTGAAACTGGATATACCCAATATCACATGCCAGGGAGGGCTCCATGGCAGGAGTAGTTGGCCAACACAAA